AAAATTACACACATTATAGCCCATAATGTTTCCAGTAATTGGTTGGAATTATTATATTTCGTTAAGCAAAGTTTACAATAAAATATCCAACAGGCTTATTCGTGAGTTATATGAGTCAATCAAAAACACAAAATAATTGACTAGATATCGTTAACAACTTCATAAAGATAGAAAAATATATTTAAGTGATTAACGAAAAAAATACAAAGAAATGTGCAACAAAGCGAAAGATTTTGAAACAAGAAGAAAGAAAGTCAATTGGACTAAAACTGCAACAAAAATCGACAGAGAGAACTGCCAGTTAAGTTGTCACAAGAATAATTAGACTAAATAATCAAATTTATGCAAACATGGAGAGACTCGAGAAGAACTGAAATGTTCACATTCAGTAATTTGAAAACAACTGTATGGAAAATACCTAGGGGGTCGTATGATCATGGCCTTTCCATGTTACAGTTGCCTACAAGGAGTTTGTCGAAATGTTAACTTTAACCATGTAAGCAGCATCCAATTGACATTAAATTCCAAATCCTCAAAGCAAAATATTTTCAACCCAGAAAGATGCAACAATTTAAGCTTGAAAAGCAAATCAAGAAAAAATCCAATAAAAACTAGTTAATACCAGTTGGTATTAAATGCGCTACGATTCATCCGTCACTGTTCATTATTCCACAGTAGTAACTCGTCCTTGAGAAAGAATATATGAAAAATCACCATAACGAGAACAACAGCTGCAAATCGTAATAGACAACTGCACTTCACCGGTTGTACGTTGAGGATCATCACGACACCAATCACCAGACAAACAGCTATAGAAACTCGGTGTGAGTGTTAGTTAATTAGTTTTCGGCCAAAGTTGTTCGTTATTACTTTTCAATGGTGTATACCACCTGTGATATACAGGCGTGAGCGTGTTGTAAACTATTTATAAGGTCTCGTTTTAGTTGTGACTACTATTACGCACAGAAGATTTTAACGAACGCCATTTCCCCTGAATTTATTACTACAACTGAAAAGAACTTGTTATTCAGAATGAACTCGGATTGTTTGTCAGTTACCAATTCGATTAGTAGCTATATTGGACAGCGGCCATGATAATCTTGTGCGTTTGGATGTAAGTTGTGTTGCTCAATCTAACTTATTCTGTTTGCGTGCACCTTAGCATCTCGCAACGCTAGATTTTTATCATTTCATTTTTGCAGATGAATACCCAACACTTCCAAAGATTAAAGAATTCAACAACTTGTTATAGTTATCGTACTTCTTATTAAGTTTATTCATTCAACATGTTTTTGATAATATTAAAAGTAAAGGGTTGTCGTGTATTACAAGTACGCTCACTTATTAGTAGATCTGGATCCTAAGCTGGAATTACTAAAGTGAAACACGCTATCCCAACAATTTACCAACTTTCTAAAATTCAGTGAATTATCATCGATAGTCAATGTCTTTCTTCCAATCCATAATTATTCACTATTGTGTATCGAACTACTACTAAATGGCTGAGAGTAATAATGAGAGATGATGGTGCCTGAAGATCTTCGGTTCGAAGATACAAAAAACTTTAAATTGTTTATCAAATTTTGGAAAGGTTAAAAATAGAGTTTTTCAGTCCAAAGAGTATGAAGAAAAGGTTTTGCATGACTTCATGGGATTTCTGTGACCAAGTTGAACTGATTGCACAACGTCTGTCTCATGAACAAACAATCAAAACATCAAGACATAACCAACCAAACAATATCGCTGATAATCTTTGTCAGAAGATTCAGTGTTAGATGTAGTTGTTGTTTAGACAATCCATAAGGATCTAACATAAATTAAAGGATCATATTTTAAGAATCATTAAATAAGGAAATGAGAACTAATTCTTTCAAAAAATATTTGAATTGTTAAAAATCATCAAATTTAAAAAAATTCCTTGAGACTGTATTTATTTATAATTAAAGTGCAAAAAAAAGGTGGGAGGTAGAAAGGTGCATATGTTAGCATACGCGGATGACATCGTGGTTATGGCGAGAGAAGCGGCGGAGATGAAAGATATGGTAAAGACATTGGAAAGATATTTTAGGGGGAAGGGGCTGGAAGTGAATGTGGGGAAGACAAGGATGATGAAGTTTTGTAAGGGGGGGAGAAAAAGAACAGAAAACTGGAGATGGGAGGGAAAAGAGATCGAGGAGGTTAGGGAGTATACCTACTTGGGGTATGTGTTCAGGGAGGACAACAGGGAGGGGTCGCATGTGATAGCTATGGCAAAAAAGGCGAATAAGGTGATGGGACAAGTATGGGGTTGGGGGAAGAGAGTCTTTGGAAAGAATGTGGCAGCGAGGAAGATTATGTTTGAAGGTCTAGTTAGCAGTGTGATGATGTATGGAGTAGAGGTATGGGGATGGAGAGAGCAGGCAATGCTGGAGGACGTGCAAGCTAGATACTGGAGATGGGTGCTTGGGGTGGCGAGAGAAACACCGGGGTATATAGTGAGGGAAGAGGTAACGGTGGATAAAGTCAGAGTGGAGAGGGGCAGGAGAGCAGTGAAATATGAAGAAAGAATAGAAGGGAGGCCAAACTGCGGGATCTTGGGGGAGTGTTGGGGGGAAATTAGAGAGGGAAAGATCAGATATGGGAAAGGAGACAGAGACAACTATTATAGACAAGCGGGCTACTCGGTAACTGAGATAAATAGTAGACGAAGGGTGGGTAGGGAGATGTGGAGGGAGTTGAGAGATAGGGACCGAGATGTGCAGAGACAGGAAAGAAGGACACAAATAAAAGAGGGGAAGTATAACGAAAGGTACAGGGACATAATTACGGAGGGGCTGCCTAGATACTTGTTATTGAAGGAGATGAGCAAGGGAAGAAGTTGGTGGCTAGGTTCCGTTGTGGAAACGAGGAGAGAGCTAACAGATACTGGATGGCCGATGAGGAGAGGTGGTGTAGGCTATGCAGGGAGGAATGGGAAACGTTGGAACATATGTTGAATGGGTGCAGTGAGTTGAGGGAGGAGGAGTTAGACCGAGGGCAGATCTTAGGAGAGGGGGGAGAGGGGAAACGATGGATGAGAATGGTTGTGGGGGTGAGGAGACAAAGGGATGGATGAGGGGAGGATTGGGCCGAGGAGCCGAGGGTATGGAAATGGAGAAAGAGGGTAGAGGGTGAAAATAATATACTAATGATATATATTAGGATGTATTAAGGGGAAAATTGTAATTATCAAAAACAATAAAATGCTTATTATTATTTATAATTAAAGTAAATTAATACGTAAAATTTCTAAGAAGTTTCAGGCTTTTATAAGATTCTTAGGATTCTTAAATATACTTCCAGTGATTTCCAGATATTTATACACATTCTGCAAAGGGTTTTCAAGACGTTCTATAGAATTTATATTTATTAATGTTATTACCGACTTTTTTTGCAATTATAAGTTCAAAGCAGATCATCATATTGTGCCACCTTGACTTTATCACATGCAGTTGTAGATCTTTGACTGATTAAGCCGAAGTCGCTTGTGACCAAGGCTCAGTAATTAATATTATATCAACTTGAAACTGGTCATCATATTGTGGCCTACAATATATATAACACTAAAGCTGAAAGATCATCGAATAAATTTATGAAAACAGTATATTTTCCAGAAAAATCCTGAAAGCATATGGAAATTTTTGAGTCCATTCTTTCAGTAAGTTTACTAAATTTTTGTATTCAATTATGATCACATAAGGACTTTTTCCACCAGACATTTCATCACAACCGAGCGAACAGCATGAACCCAAATGGTATAAGTCTTGATTTATCCTAACTTTAATGTTATTATTTATTCAAGGTCTAGCACCTGCCAGCCTTGTGTCAAGTTGGCAAAAGAACTCAAGCAGTTGGTCAAGCAAAGAAGGCATTAAAATAAGACTAACAACTTCACCAAATTAAAACTAATACTTTTTTGACGACATAAAGGATAAGATAACGAAAGGATAAGGAGAGATTCGCTAAATTAAGTGATGATATTCAAATAATATTTTTAAACATAGCAGTAGTGAAAGTGTTCGCGAGTTGCTTTTTACAAACGGAAACTGTGGGTGTATAATTTTGCAATATCGTCAAGCAATGAGCAAAAAATAACCAATTAGTCCATCAGTTTCTTGAACCACTATAACAATAAGGTAATGTATTCTGAAATAAGAAAGCTATTTATCTTTTCAGACAGTGGTGTCTTTTAAAATAAAAACCACGCAATGACGCAATACTTGGCTGCTTTGGACAATATAGCACATAGACGGAGTTCCAATATAGTGCAACCTTTCCCAGAACTTGGACATAGTGTTATGTCCGCCTTTGACTATTGAAAAAAATGTGGGGAAAAAAGACTTTGCTCTTCCCTTGGAATTCACCAGAACTACGTTGACACTTTTAAACCTGATATTGTATTACGAAGCACAAGGTAGTCATGTGTGATACATAATGAATTAATAAAAGGATTATTGAGTGCAACGAAACCGTTTCCCTGTTAACGCCACGAAAAGTTAAAATAATGATGATCCATTGCCGCTGAAGGTTATAAAATATAATGATGTCATGGTTTTAGTACAGAAGTATGTGGGGAAAACGAAATGTATTTCTACGAAGGCTTCAAATCAGCTGTTCGTTTTTTGTTGTTTAACACATAGGGAAATTGTACCGAAGGAGAATTGTAAAAATTTTGGTGTATTGTTCTTTTGAATATCATACGAGTTCTTCTCTCTAGTATATTATATCCTTCAAAATATTTTTTAATTCATTTTCCTCATAAAATCCCAAGATTCCCTTGATTTTTACAAGTTGGTGATAATGAGTCACCAACATCAATATGGAAATAAGAATTAATTATTTCAAAAAATATCTGTTACGCCAAAAATTTTAAAGTAGTTTATATTATTATTATATTTTCAGAAATCTATAAATATTAAGATAAGTGATCATCGAATAAAATTGATAAGAAATCTGCTATCTCTTACAAAATAAATATTTACCTGAAATCGTAGGGAAATGTTTGAGTCCATTCTTCAAGTAACTTAACTAAATTTTCAGCAAACTTTGTACACCCGTGATTCTCCGAACCAGCAGAAGATCTCGCGTTCTGTTGACTTTCGCTTATACTTCGTATCCGGTCGAGCAAATCGTGAGGTTTAATGTAGAGACGTGACGAAAGTAGAAAAGCGAAAATGTACGCCTTATCAGGATAATAAACGTTTGTTGGCACCATGTGCAATATCAACGAATCTAATGATCCTGATACTAAATTGTCATCTCTATGAACCAATCCCTATACAAAAAAAATAAATTAAAAAACTAATTATATAAGAAATGGAAATATTTACGTTTTGTTGTTGATCTTTCGTCATTGATTTGTGAACATCTCCATTGGAATACGAATGTTTTGTGTGGGATCCTTGAGGCAAGTTCTGAAATGAAAATTATAAACGATTATGCAAGGTAATAAGTGAGTTGTTTAAATTTTTAAAATTGATTTTGAAATTATGCAATTTGTCAAGTATGAAAATGGATTTTCACCTTTTATTATTCCCGACGGCTATAAATCCTTGTAATAATTTCGAACGCTCATAAATCGGATAGTTTCAATTCTATGGAAAATGTATAACCCAATTCATAATGTCCATAAATTTATAATAACATTTTCAATTTATATTTCACGCCACAAAATTTTCTCACACATTGCTTATTGTTTTATTATTTATTATTTGATTTGATCAAAATTTACAACTTTATTAATAACTTTATTCTAAGAAAGAGAAAACAGGAACTAAACAGACAGTAATTGTACGACATACACTGTAATTGTATCACTTTATAGTTATTAAGTGAAAGCGGCCTGTTTATGTACACATATACATTAACTTACCTACAGCTGTTAGCGTCTTGTGTTGTTATTTACGTGACATTACATGACTTGCATCATGATTATACTTTTCGTGTAAAAAAAAACGCGAAGGTTACAAGAAACAAACGTTATTACCTTTTTTTTGTAGAAACCTCGCGTAATACTAAAGTTTACGTCTTTAAACTATGCGTAGTTATAAATATAATAAAAATTCCGCAAAATAAAAAGTGGATTTGTAAACCACATTACAGAGAGCATTTCAAAAGAAACCGTTATTTCACAAGTTCCATGTTTCTAAAGACACCACAGACACATAAATAACCGATTATACAATTACAAAGAAATCTGAAATAAATATTTAAACTAAAACTGTTATATTTGCATTGAAATATTGAATGTTGTGGTCATTTTTTATATACATTTTTCTATTTTAATTGTTTCCGTTAAAAGTTATAAAACTGAAACGATTATTTTTTTGTCAATATGGAATGTAGAGTTGTTACATAAAGCTTAGATAATTTATATTGAAAATAAAATATAAATAAAATTGGTGAAACCACTGTTTTTGCTACAAAAACATTTTCACGTCATGTTAAGATTAGAAAAGTTACAATACAATTTTTTTTTGAGTCAATTATCTCATTTAATTCTATAACTCGAATTAAACTTATCACGATCATTTTTGGGAAAGATAAGCTAAAAAGTTGTTTTTACATCATAAAATTAATAAATAAAACTGTTTAAGTCAAGTTAAGTTTAATAAAAATTTCTATTTATGTACATCGATTATTTCCAATGTTAATTAATTCATCACGTGGAAACATAAACTGTTGACATTGAATTAATAACCAAAGAAAATACACAATACCTGATTGTATGCAAAAATTGGATGTTCACTGTTCAAAACCTTCATTTTAGCGATTTCACTTAAAACTTAGAAAACAATCGAATGAACTCCATCACGGTTTGTCACAATTTAAGAATCTGACAAAACGTACAGTGTTTTTCATAGTCAAACACGATAAACTCTATAGATAAGTCGTAGTGAGCAAACAAAATGAGATTTCTATCCAAATATACAATATTTTATCACCTGGCTCGAGGATATTTACTAATAACTAAAATGTGATGGCGCCTGCTATCACTTCCTTTGCTATCACGTAGAAAATGTCGTAATAAGTTTCCTTTTAGGAATTAAGTAATAATTTGTATACTAAAATTTATTGTAGTTTTATAAGTTGTTAATGGTGACACTTTTACAAAAAAAGTTTTAGTATAAAAGTTGTAGCAAATTTTATTCTTAACAATATTGCTCTCTTCCACTATTGCTCTCAGATGCGTAAATATCGAGAAAAATACGAAAATATAAAAATTTGATGAATTCGTAGTTTTACGAATTGTTAATAGTATAACACTCGGGATTTGGAATGTATTATAACACAACTTTTAGAACAAAAGTTGTAGCAAATTTTATTTTTAACAATATTGCTCTCTTCCACTATTGCTCTCAGATGTGTAAATATCGAGAAAAATACGAAAATATGAAAATTTTATGAATTCGTAGTTTTATGAATGTTAATGGTATAACACTCGGGATTTGGAATGTATTATAAAACAACTGTTAGAATAAAAGTTGTAGCAAATTTTAATCTTAACAATATTGCTCTTTTCCACTATTGATCTCAGATGGGTAAATATCCAGAAAAATACGAAAATATGAAAATTTGATGAATTCGTAGGTTTACGAATTGTTAATGGTATAACACTCGAGATTTGGAATGTATTATAAAACAACTTTTAGAACAAAAGTTGTAGTAAATTTTATTCTTAATAATATTGCTCTCTTCCACTATTGCTCTCAAATGCGTAAATATCGAGAAAAATACGAAAATATGAAAATTTGATGAATTCGTAGTATTTCAAGATAATGGCAACTTTCGAGATTCGGAACATATTACAAAAAAAACTTTTAGAACAAAAGATGTAGCAAATTTTATTCTTAACAATATTGCTCTTTTCTACTTTTGCTCCCAGATGTGTAAATCTTGAGAAAAATACGAAAATATGAAAAATTGATGAATTCGTAGTTTTACAAGTTAACCATAACACTTGGGTTTCGGAACATATTACAAAAAAACTTTTCGAACAAAAGATGTATTAAATTTTATTCTTAACAATATTGCTCTTTTCCACTTTTGCTCCCAGATGCGTAAATCTTGAGAAAAATACGAAAATATGAAAATTAGATGAATTCGTAGTTTTACAAGTTAATGGTAACACTTGGGTTTCGGAACATATTACAAAAACGCTTTTAGAATAAAAGATGTAGCAAATTTTATTCTTAACAATATTGCTCACTTCTACTTTTGCTCCCAGATGCGTAAATCTTGAGAAAAATACGAAAATATGAAAAATTGATGAATTCGTAGTTTTACAAGTTAATCATAACACTTGGATTTCGGAACATATTACAAAAAAACTTTTCGAACAAAAGATGTATTAAATTTTATTCTTAACAATATTGCTCTCTTCCACTTTTGCTCCCGGATGCGTAAATCTTGAGAAAAATACGAAAATATGAAAATTAGATGAATTCATAGTTTTACAAGTTAATGGTAACACTTGGGTTTCGGAACATATTACAAAAAAACATTTAGAATAAAAGATGTAGCAAATTTTATTCTTAAGAAGATTGCTCTCTTCCACATTTGCTCCCAGATGCGTAAATCTTGAGAAAAATACGAAAATATGAAAATTTTATGAATTCGTAGTTTTACAAGTTAATGATAATACATACTTGGGATTCGGAACATATTACAAAAAAACTTTTAAAACAAAAGTTGTAGCAAATTTTATTCTTAACAATATTGCTCTCTTCCACTTTTGCTCCCAGAAGCGTAATTCTTGAGAAAAGTACGAAAATATGAAAATTAGATGAATTCGTAGTTTTACAAGTTAATAGTAACACTTGGGTTTCGGAACATATTACAAAAAAACTTTTATAACAATAGTTGTAGCAAATTTTATTCTTAAGAATATTGCTCTCTTCTACTTTTGCTTCCAGATGCGTAAATCTTGAGAAAAATACGAATAAGTACATGAAAATTTGATGAATTCGTTGTCTTATAAGTTGTTAATGGTAACACTTAGGATTCACAGCATATTACAAAAAATACATTTAAAACAAAAATTGTAACAGATAATATGAACAAAGAATATTAAAGTGTATTAAAATTTTTATTATTTTTCAAGGTTGACAATTTTCTTCAGTAGTTTAAAAAAAATCGTAAAAAATCGTTTCTTGGAAAATAGTTCTAAAACTTTAACGATCTATAAAGACAGGTATCTATTTTTTAACGCAAGGAACCGTTTTAAAAAATATCATTTAGTTTTTTTGTAGTTAAGTACATTAAAGGCAATTACACCTTTTACCACTTTTTGTTTAAAAAGATGGTAATAAATCGCCTTCTTAGAAAAGAGGTATTTCTGAAAAATTTTTTCTAAAAGAAAACTATCTACTTTTTAATGCAATAAACTGTTTTTAAAAATATCGTTTAATTTTTTTGTTATTAACTGCATTAAAGGCGATTAAAACTTTTTAAACTTTATAAAGTTAACGAGATTGCCTAACTTTGCCGTACTAATTTGCACTATCATAAAATCTATTATCACTCAAAAATTTTAATTCAGTTTTATCCAGTTTACATCGATAAGTTTGTTTGTAACAAAAAACTTTTTAATTAAGTATTACAAAAATAAATGTAATAACAATAATAATATGTAATCATATCTTTTAATCAGTAGTTTGATTAAAAGTTATAAAAGATTGTAATTGTTCAATTAATTACTTATTCGAACTTCTTTTTATAAATAATTTCGTTTGTAGTAGTAAGAGCATAACAATAGAAAAATGAAAGGAAGTTCTTCTTCTTCAATTCTGGGTCTTGCAAATGGGGACCGTAATTGTATAAAAGGATATATTGACGGCAAAAAAAAGGCTTCCATATCTAATTTTTATTTCCTGTAGAATGCTTCACAACACAACTTAAAGGAATTTCGAGAAAACTAATCTTCGAAATAACATTACACTTACATTTTTAGCTATAAACATAATAACACTATTTCGCAGTTTATAATACGGTTTCTATTCGACCTTTCTCTATTTTCCATGGAATCTGTTGAAACACGGCTGAATACACAAGGGTACTTGACAGAAAGAAAACATGTACCTTGTTCTTTTCTCATTCGCTTCGTGCTGCACGTTTTATATGTATGTTATTTTATTTCTTGAGAAGGAAGATGTTTACCATCATCAGATAATCGACCTTCATCTGGAACAACACGCTTATTTCGTGGATCTTTTAGCAATTCTCCCACATAGCTGGTCAAATTTATCGACGCCATCCATTATTCGATTATACTCCGACTATAATTACTATTATAGTAATTAATTTTTAATTAATTAATTTTCTTGGGTTATCTAGATGAAAGTATGGCCGGAGTATACGTTTTTCTTAGTATGAGAGTTATTTTAGGTATTCTTTATTTTTTGTGAAATGCACT